GGGTGTCCGGGGTGGGCCGGCAGGCCCTGGCCCCCTCCGTGGCCGTCCTCACCCGTGCCCGCTTCGTGCCCCAGGCCTGAGGTCGGATCCCGAGCCCGCGCCATGCCGAGGGAGAGGAGGGAGAGGTGAGCGGCCTCGCCACTGCGGGCAAGGGAGGCTGGGCGCGGTGGGGGAGGGGTGGGCCCGCGCCGGGCGCTCACCCCAACCTCTGCCACCCCGGCTCTGCAGGGATGCCAAGGAGCCGGACACCATGAAAGAGGAGAGCGGCGCCGATGCCTCTGCTCACTCCAGGAAGAGGAAGGCAAATGTGGCCGTTGTGAGTACAAAGGAGACAGGTGGGGGAGGATGGCCCCCCATCTTACCTGGGTACCAGACTGGGCCCTGCCCGCGTATTTGTGGATGGGGGTACGCTGAGGGGCGGTCCTGTTCATAGAAATGCTGTTCATAACCTAACCGACTTTCTTTTTCTTCTGTCTGTGTTTTTTTGTCTTTGGGCTGTTTGGTGTGTTTCCTTGGGGGGTGGGGGTTGTCCTATGTTAGTTTTTGCAAGATCCAGATGAAGAAATTGCCAAAATCGACAGGACTGTGAGGAGCCAGTGTGACAGTCAGGTAGGTTCACGTGCTAACTGGGCCTCGGTGGAGGGCGCCTGCTCCTTGTGGGTCGGTGGGTCTCATCCTGCCCTGCGGCTTGCTGAAGGCTTTTTTCCTGAGGCCACAGTCCCCTGGCTGAGCACTGCCTGTCAGTGGTCTCCGGCCTCGGCCAGCCCTGGGTTTCCAGGAAGGTCTTGTGTTCCTAATGTGTGCCGATGTCTGGAAGACCCAGAATGGACATCAGGGAACTCAGTCCTCTCCTTTTCCCCTTGAGGAAACTGAGACTCAGAGGAAGAAACTCACCCAGAGTCCATGCAAGCCAGGGCCAGAGTTGGTCCTCTAGCCTTGTCTCTGGGCTGGTGAACTGGGGGAGGGCACCTGACACACAGCTTTTTGGGTAACTATGATAATGGGGGTTTGCGTGTGTTCTTAAATGGCTTCTCCTCCATTCACACTTGTGTTTTTATCTCATGGAGCTTAAGGCTCCTACTGTCTGTAGGTCAGGTTTAAAACTTGAACCCTCTTTCTGGAAGTTCTTCCAGCCCACCTGGCAATTGCCTGTAGTGGTCACTGCTGTCTGGGGCTCGACCTGGTCTCCACCAGAGTATTAGTGGAACATTCTGTGTAATGATATGTGTGTCTCAACACATTTTTTTATTGACTAGCCCATGTCTCTTGCCCCTCCTTCAAGGACTTCCCGCCAAATTTCCTGCGTGCTCGTGATATCATTATAATATCAGAAGTTCTTGGCAGAAAAAGCTTATATTATCTCTCTACCTCCAGAAATGGCTGCAGACTGTAGTTATGGCTCCAGTAGGGAAAGCTGCCTATCTCCAAACTAAGCTGATCAGGCCTTCTGACCCTCTTGCAGATAAAAGCTGAGCAGGAATCATATTTGAGCTGAGGACAGTGGCCCTGACTAGGGTAGCCATGGACAGCGCATCACTTTGCCGGGCCATGAGCAGCAGCCATAGCAGCTGGGTGTGGGAGAGTGAAGGGCTTCAAAGCAATGGCCACATCGTATGCAGTCACAGTGTCACTGAACATGAGACCCCAGTAATTAGCGTTTCTGGGGCAGTTTCACTGAACAGTGAACAAGGAGTTGGTTACTCCCTTTTCTGTTAGAAGAAGAAACACTCCACTTCAGGGCAGGAAATAAGAGAGTGCCTCCCAACTTTTTTCCCCTTTTTCTCCCCTCAAGTCTTCAAACTGAGCAGGGTAGTTTTTGTGGGCGTTATGAAATGGATCTCTACTTTGTGAAATTCCAGATTGGTTATCTTCTCAGCTGTGCTTGAATTGACATCTTCAGCTGCGGGTGCAGCAGAGCTGTCTCCATGTTGACTTCTTGGAGTTTGAGGAGTTTCTGTTCTGAAGGATTGCCACGCAGAGCCTCGGTTCCCCGAGATGGAGCTGCAGCCCTGTCCCCCACTGCGGGGAGTTGAGAGTTGTGCTATGTGAATAGCTATATTATTTCCCACCACAGGCATTTTCACGGTTGTCCAGAGATTAATGATAACATGTTTGTGCACATTTCATAGAGTAGATAGCTCGAAAATTATCCAGCTATTTATGGAGCAATAGATATCTTGCTATTTCTCTGTGTTGGTTCATGAAGTTAGAATTTTGGTGTAACACGGAACCTTTTTGCCTCTTAATTACACAGAGTTACAGGCTATCAGCCCGGCCCAGTGCAGCAGCCTTGCTACTTGTAGCCTTCATGCTAAACTCCCTGTAACTATTTCACCTGCCATCAGGACTGCACGGAGCTTTGTGTGCTCATCTTGGACCTTAATGAAAGTGGACTTTAGTACCTAAAATCCATATAACATGTCCATTCTGGTGTTTTATTCTTTGCATGTGATGTAACTGTTTGATAGAAGTGGAACCCTGGACTTTTTGTTCTCAGAACATAATTTTGCATAAGGTAGTTCTGTTCTTAACTAAAAGTGGCCTAAGGAGATAAGGGTGGTTAGAACAGTCAGGAGTGTTTCTTTGCTCTATCCCATTTTCCCTAAAGTCGCACTGGTCTTGCTTCTTCTGAAACATGGTATATACTGAAGTTACAGGACAGACACTTCACTGTTCTGCTTCATACACTAGTTCCTAAAAAGGCCAGCTTTGGGAACCCTGTGTCCACTTGTCACCCAGTGTGCCTGAGCTACAGGTAGGGAACTGTTGCCAGTTCATGTCCAAAGGCTTGCTTTTGACTGTTCCAGGCACAGGCTGCAGAGGGTGGCTCCCAGCTCCCACCTTCAAAACTAGAATTCATTGCTGAAGGAAGAGCAGCTAAACCCTTTCTGAGTGAAGGAAATGCTCCCAGCACGCCAGACCAGGGCAGAAGAGGAGCTAGCCTCCAGCAGCTGCTGGCAAGAGCCACACTGCGCATTTGCATGGCCAGCCATGCACCTGGGACGGAGAAGGGCTCTTTCCAGTTTTGCCCTCCTCGGTGCCCTGAAAATGCCCTGGCTTCCTGTGAAAGTGCCCGATGAGCTGTGACAGTTAGACTCGGAGCCCTAGCTCCCACATTCATTTATAGGCCTCTCAGTTGTCTTTCCTTCTCTGGTCAACACTATTTCAGCTTTGAAACACATGCCAGGAATATCAGGCTTTCCCAGAGGGGAAGGGTGATGGGTGGAATCTAGACTTTGGATGGGGGGCACAAGTGGACCATTCAGATATCCTATTATGAAGTTGTACACCTGCAATTTACATAATGTTGTTAACCAATGTTACCCCATGTTACATTTAATACAGTACAGTAAACAGATTTAAAAAGAAAATTTCCTAAATAGCAAAATGAATAAAATGAAATATCTGGAATTTTTAAAAGGAAAGCCTTTTGTTTGGGTTTTAATGATGGTATATTCACTTATCACTTACTTGTGTCTCACTCCCCTGTGCAAGGCCTTGGGACAGAAGTCAGAGGTCTTCGGGGGTCTGGGCTCAGTCTGTCTCCACACACTTCTTAGTATAATCTGTGACCATGGCTTGACTTGGGTTTAACTTTTTGTTCTGTTTTGAACTGAGGAAAACAGAAGGTCCCCATTACATAATATATTTGGCTAGTCCTGCAACCCAAGGAAGATGTCACATTTGAGGTGATGTTTTGTTTTAAAACGGGGAGACTAAATTATAGATGCAATTTACACTTTCTTTTATACTTGCAAATGGAAGTGCTTATGTAAACACTTTTATTAGAAATTCTACCTTTCACATTTAAGAAAGTTTTGTAGGTGAGTTGTGCTTGTTAAAAAATCTTTGCTTGTGACTGAGTAATCCCACAGTGCACTGCAGAAGTCGTCCAGCGTCTTGCTGAGCTGCACATGCGCCTGTGTCCTTTCTTTTGGAAATAACGTAAAAGCTGTTGGCATTTTGCATTGTCTCATGCCTCCTACACTCTTACTGCTGCTCACAACTCGTGTGAGAGTGCTGGTTGGAGAATAAAGTGGTCCTGGCCTCGTTTTCTTAGGCATTGACTTCATGTTCATAGACTCCTAAGCTACCATGGAAGTGAAATGAACGCTGGGGTTGTTCCTGTGGCTCTCACTCGCCCATGCCTCTCCATCCCAGCTTCGGCCAGAATATCTCTTTAGGCCTGGGGCTTGCTCCCCAGTGTTTGGAATCATTGGCTCTTCTACAAATCACTAGATGTGAAAGTAGCTGGTTTCCACCAAACACTTAAAAACTTTTTTTTCCTTTTCAGTCTCAGGACAGTAACACAGCCTGTGAGAACCCATGCTCCCTGATCCCAACGCCTGACAAGGATGAGGGTGAGCTGGTGTATCCCACCTCTGAGCACAAGCCTCCGGGCGCCCGGCCTGCCAGAGCCTCGCCCCTGCCTCTGCTGAAGTGAGTGCCTCCCGCCTCTCCGGGCCCTCCCAGCAGTGCTGGGGGTGCACACTGACGCCTGTCTGTTTTTTTGCGTGGTGGTGGTTTCTGTAGCTGGGCAAACCGAGAGGAGGTTTGGAAGATCATGTTAAACAAAGAGAACACGTACTTCAGGGACCAGCACCTTCTGCAGCGGCACCCTCTCCTGCAGCCGAAGATGCGAGCGATTCTCCTGGACTGGCTAATGGAGGTGAGCTGGTCTCCCTGGCAGCTGGTGGCAGAGCCCTTTCTGGAACCTTTGGGGTACTTTAAGCTCTGTGGTTTGGTCCCATTGGCACATTCTAAGTTTTTGAGGCCGTGGTCACACATTGCCATGATCTGACTTTTTCCTTGTTTGCTTGCATGCTTCCGTAACAGACCGTCTGAAGCCCCTTGACCTTCTAGATAGTTTTATGTTGGCATCTAATTTCTTTACAGTTTAGCAGCTTTTATGCATTTAGAATTATGGAGAGAAGGAAGATTACACAAGGGTGGGAGGAAGCAAGGTGGAGATGGGATTACAGGATAGTTAGGAGTATGTGCTCTCTTGAGAATTAATACCCACCCCCCCACACACACTTATTTTTGGCATTTCGGAGGTGTGTTAACCTAGATCAGGGGTGGGGGAACCTTTTTTCTGCCAAGGGCCATTTGGTTATTTACAACATCATTTGTGGGCCATACAAAATTATCAACTTAAAAATCAGCTATGAAAAAAGCTGGATTTATTGAATTTCGAGTCCCACCAGCTGTTGCCTTGGTAGGACCAGACCAAATGATTCCACCCGCAGTATATGGCCCATGGGCAAGGCTGGCTTAAAACCTTCACTAAATAAGTTTTAGGCTTGGGTATGACTATTACCCACCATGACCTACCCAATTAGAAATTTATGATCACCCTGTGAGGTTACTTCCCATAGAACCCCTTTTTCATCCACAGTCCTGCCCCTTTGGTCATAAATTAGTCAGAAGGATATATTGACAACTAACCTTTTGGTCAGATAGTGTGGTCTCACAGCACTAGGAAGGCTCATTCCTAGGAAGTCTCAGTATTGATATTATCTTGTTGAACACTGGGGATGGGGCCACACAGAGACTGTAGAGTCTGAGTTGAGGCAGAATTTTCCCAAAAACATAAGGGCAGGAAAAGGGAAGGCAGTCAGGTCTATGGCCTTCCTTGTATCCTATGAACTCACGCGATCGAGTTTTGCCTTCTGCCTCTTTTCTGTATTGGGCATCTAGTGTAATAGACATCTAATTTTTTCATCAAAGTTCCAATGATGGCAAAGGTTGTCTTTTCCAATTAACTGTAAAAATTGATATTTGACCTTTGTTGATTAAATTGCCTTTTTTCTTTTTTTTAATTTTCACCCAAGGATTTTTTTTCATTGATTTTTAGAGAGGGTGGAAGGGGGAGGGAGGAGCAGAGTGGTGAGGGGGGGAGAGAGACATCGATGTGAGAGAGACACATTGATTGGTTGCTTCTTGCACTCACCCCAGCCATGGGAGTGGGGAGCAACCCTGCAACTGAGGTACGTGCTCTTGACCAGGAATCAAACCTGCAGCGCTCTAACCACTGAGCAACACTGGCCAGGGCTGAATTGCTTTTAAATGTATCCAGAGGAGTACAGGTAACAGCTATTTGATAGCCATGATGGTAAATTTTAAAAATATATGAACAACCTTACCTTTAACAGTCAGAAATCATACATTGTTTATTTTTAACGCCTTGGAATCCATTTCTCTTTCCCCATAGAATTTTATTCTAACAACATGTATTGTTCAGATCTTTTAGTGACCACACTGTCACGCTTCTCTGCAACAATTGAGCAGAAGTATTACAAATTGTGATAGACGTGTTCTGGGCCTTCCCACCCCACCGTGTTCACATTTCACCCTCCTTAATGGGCGTCCTGGGAGGAGGTGAGGCGAGCACTGTCCTGAGTGTGTAGTTGAGACCATCTGCCCAAGTGAGAGCCTAAATGACAGCCTTGAGGCTTTCAACTCTTCTTCAGAAGCTTTGCTCATGTGACTAAGAGATTGGACCTATTGTGGCCTTTGACTTAATGTGTGGTCCAGCTTTTCAGCTTTCTCACTGAGGTTACCCAGTTGTGAAGAAGTATGTTCATGTTTTCCTCAATGCAGAGTGAAACTTAATAGTTGTAGTTTTTTTGTGACAGTGCTGCTTCCCCCAGGCTGTGAACACTTGCCCTGGACTTGTTAGTAATCGCAGCACACTCACTCCTCTCTGAGTCCGTCTTTACTGTGCCTGTGCTGAGAGACGAGCAAGGCTGACCGTCCCTTCAGAAAAGCAGACTTCTCTCTCGGTTCATTAGCATTGTCCTTCACCAATTGGGGCAAGTTCTTTTCTTTCTTTTTCCCTCAAGCAACTGTTCTAAAACATCCTCGGTGTTTTTGCAGGTGTGTGAAGTCTATAAACTTCACAGAGAGACATTTTACTTGGCACAGGACTTCTTCGATCGGTACATGGCAACACAGCAAGACATTGTGAAAACGCTTTTGCAGCTCATTGGGATTTCATCTTTATTTATTGCCGCCAAGCTTGAGGTAGGTGGTCTGCAAGCATTTGTTACGAGGCTCATGCTGTCCCTTGAGCTCCACCGAGATTGGGGGCCAGGTCAACTGTTTGTCTATAATGTGTACCCTAAATTTTTCTCACTTGAGGACTTCTAAAGTTAAGGCACACACAAAAAATGCTAAACGTTAACCAAGAAGGACAAGAAGCAGTGAGTGTAAAATGCGTAGGTCATCATAGTTACCTTTAGCAGAAATACTAAACCTTGACCTAAGAGGTTAAAATTTTGGTGTGATTAGAAGGGTGGATGGGCCTGACGTTCAAAGATGTTGCTACAGGTATTGGGAAAGATGGAAATTTCAAGCTATTACCTACAAGTAGAAGTTTGATCGATTGATTGACTGACTGAGTGGTAGAATGGGCATTTCCTTTCTTTCCCTGCTGGCACACTAAGAAGAATGGCTTCGGACATGCATCGTAAGTTAAACCTGGCAGAGATTGGCTTTTTGCTATAGTTTCTTTATTTTGTTTCCTTTCAGGAAATCTATCCTCCGAAGTTGCACCAGTTTGCTTATGTTACAGATGGGGCTTGTTCAGGAGAGGACATCCTCACCATGGAATTAATCATCATGAAGGTAGGTTACAACTTTACTCCTCGATGCTCCACACACATAACACCCTTCCACCTCCGGTGAGTGCATCTTGCCAGGTGTTTCTCACTGGACACACTGTGTCCAGGATCGGCTGCATTTTCAGCTTCTTTGGAGGACAAAAGGGAACAGAGCCGTCTTCCTCTCTCAGACATGGGTCTCTTTCTGTTTCCCTCAGGCTCTTAAGTGGCATTTAAGTCCACTGACCATTGTGTCCTGGCTGAACGTGTACATGCAGGTAGCCTACCTGAATGACTTATACGAAGTGCTCCTGCCTCAGTATCCCCAGCATGTCTTCATCCAGATCGCAGAGGTCAGTGCCCGAGGCCTGGGGGCACCTGCCCTTCCCCCACCCCCCTGGGCCCACCCGGAGCCCGAGGAGGCGTGTTGGCCATCTGCTCAGCATCCTTTCTCCTCCGTAGCTCCTGGATCTCTGCGTCCTGGACATTGGGTGCTTAGAGTTTTCCTATGGTGTCCTCGCCGCTTCTGCCCTGTACCACTTCTCCTCGTCTGAGCTGATGCAGAAGGTCTCAGGTATGCCTGGGTTCCGCTGTGTGCATGGAGCTGGACACGCAGGCCAGTCCTTGCCTCTAGTGGAGCCCATCGTGCATGTCTCTTGCAGGGTACCAGTGGTGCGACATTGAGAAGTGTGTCAAGTGGATGGTCCCCTTTGCCATGGTCATCAGGGAGGCAGGAAGCTCGAAGCTGAAGCAGTTCCGGGGTGTTCCTGCCGAAGATGCCCACAACATTCAGACCCACTTGAACAGCTTGGACCTGCTGGTCAGTCCCGCCTTGTCCCCACACAGTGCTAACACCACATCAGGCAGGCCTGGGTCCTTCAATCCTTGAGAGAATGCTCAGTAGGTGCCGCGTCTAGGTATTGTGCAGTACAGGCTTCTAGATTGTTCTTTGCTATTTTCCCCTTACTCACCTGCATAGGAAAAAGCACACAGTAAGTTACGCCCAAAGCACATTTTCTTCCCTGGTAACATTCCTTGGTTCATTTTTATCGACAGGACAAAGCCCAAGCCAAGAAAGCCATATTGTCCGAACAAAATAGGGTTTCTCCTCTCCCGTCCGGGCTCCTCACTCCACCACCAAGCAGTAAGAAGCAGAGCGGTGAGCCAGGAACAGAGTGACACACCAGCCTCTTCACCAAAGACAGTCGTGCCCAAGTGCCTGCCAGTCCTCGTGTGTCCGTGCCCCAGAGGCCACCTCAGCTTCACAGACAGTGACACGGGAGAGCTCACTCTCCCGCAGCACAGTGCTTCTGTGGATGGCATTGGACAGGGAGAAGTGCTTATCGAATGCTTAGGATTTGTTAATAAGTGCGTCAAGTACACCAGCCACCTCCAGACACCAATGAGTGCTCCCGATGCTGCTACGGAGGGTGCTGCTTGACTTGATTGACGTTCTCACAGATCACAGAGCTTGAAGCTGAGGAGTGCCACTGGCTGCGGCCTTCCCGGGTGTCCTGGGTGCGTGGTGCTGAGTGGGACAGGTGTGGCGAGCGTTGTGACGCAGGCTCAGCCAGCCATGTTGGGGGCCCGCCCTCCACGCTATCAGTTGACAATGTACAATGCCTTTTATGAACTTGTTCTGAGTGCTGCTACGTCTGTCCGTTTTTAATAAAGGTGACACTGTCTTTGAGACAGCTGGTTTTATGAGCTGTGTCTGGTCATTTACTTTGGAAGCCAACTCTGAATGTGGCTGCTTCAGGTTCTCGGTTTTAACCGAGAACCTTCATGCGTCTTGAAGTCAAGCCTTCTGGTGGAAACAAGCTTTAGGTGCAGCCTCACATGCCTCCCATGGACGGGGTCCCGAGCTGGAGTGAGGCTCCAGTCGGCTTTCCCCCCACAATGCTGACACCGAGCCTTACCCGACCTGCAGATGTCGCCTAAACTGAACTTTGAAGAAAATGCAAAGTAAAGTTACATGCAGCCCAAGGCCATGGTGTCCTGCACTCCGACCCCGGCCACTGACAGCGTCCCAGGTGTCTGGCTCGCGGACTTCACTGTCCACGGGAAGGCCTCGCATGTGCGGCTCCCACGTGTGAACGTCCTCCCGTGGAGGCCTCGTCGAGTCCCGTGTTCTTCCTCGCAGTGCTGTGGTGTATGGTTGGGTCGAGAGGGAGGGTGAACCAGCAAACAAACTTATTTTCAACTTGGTGTTTTGTCTCGTTTTGTAAAAAATGACTGATGTAGAAAGGAAAACGGCCATTTTTAATGTATTTATATGAAGTTGGAGAGTGACCATGCTTGTGACAGTACTGGTGAGTTTTAATACTGTTCCTGATAAAGCTGCATCCTTAAGCTCCATGTAGTGCCATTTAACTATGAGTGACCCTGACTAAGCATTTCTTCCATTTCAGGTGAATTTTTAATGGTGATCATTTGCAGGTGATTTGCAAAAATCCTAAAAGTGGTTCATTTCCATTTGGCATTCTCTTTGCAAAAAGATGGCACTAAAAACATTCCTATTTTCAAAGTTTTATTATAAGTTTGAGAGCTTGACAAGTGGGAGGTCACACTGGTTGGAAAGCATGTTCGGGGTAAGCATCGATTTTCCAGTGAGCCGTCGTATGGCAGGGTCTTACTGAGCGTGATGAGATGAGGCTGCCTTCTATATAAAGCGGTTGGAATGCTGCATTTCTGGAAATCGATGTTTTTTTAAACAACAGTGTTGCCACAGGCGGCTCTGCTAGTAAAGGCTAAGTCTGGGGGGGGGTGGTGAGTGGAAATTATAGTAATCAATATTTTCTGTGGCTCTGCCAGAAACCCTAAGGTCACTGGTAAGTAGTGTTTCCCTCTCCAAGGAGCTTCCTCCATCGCTGGTGGTCAATACAAACTCGGGCCCCTCGTGGGTCAGCTCTATCTGCCCATTTGCCAAGTCATTTTTGTTGTGCGATCCAGATAGGCCCGGCTGAGGCCAGGTGACGTGGAACAGACACCAGGATGAAAATGGGTCTGGCCCACCTGGGGGGACAAACGCTCTGAGGCAGATGCCTGAGCAAAGGACCAGAGGACAAGGCCACGTGGGCCCTAGTGGGTCTTCCTTGTGTTAGAGACAAAGAAACATGGACCAGCTGTGACAACTCATTGTCTTCATCTCATGCCCCAGCTCACAGAAGTCACCCCGGACCTCACCGGGCTGCTCTCACATCTGCCCCGAGTTGGGGAGCGAGAGCATGGGTCCTAGGTGTGGCGTCGAAGGGTTACCAACATGCCTTCCCTGTGTGGGCCTCTCTCTGTTCCCCGGGGTCCTCTCCTACCAAGTGGGTAATAGACGATGCTGAGGTTCACATGGACTCGAAGTCTGCGGGGAGGTAAGTCAAACTGTGGGGACCTTTCAGGTCTGGAGCTCACGAGATGCACTTCTGTCCCCGTCTCACACACAAATGTGAGTGCAGTTTATTTGGGCAAGATCGGGCTGCAGCTCAGAGCAGGGCTGGGAGGGGACAGCAAATCCTATCATGTTTAGTCAGATTTACCCAACTGCACTTTCCTACCACAGTTTCAAATTCAAATCACATTTCTACCTTGGACATTGTTAGAAGGCTATTTTTATCCCCGCTGTAATCATCTAATTTGCTGATTACGGGTCTCAAATTGCCACAGAGAACTCAATTTTTGAGAGAATTGTCCTGTTTGATCAAATCCGTTATTCCGGCAATGCAGTCATTTGTTCCACAAGGTTACCTGCCGGGCAGAGCCGACCAGGAGTAACAGCATTAGAAGCCTGTACTTAAAACCACGCATTAGCTAATCTGCCTGTGACAATAGAGTCTTAAATGTAATTTGCTGCAGACACCTCAGTTCCCGCGCTCACAGACAACCGCATTATGTATTCAGTGAGCACAGATTTCCCTACCTCATCCCGATTCCAAATTTAACTCCGGAAGACTCGAATGGCTCCTCTTCCCAGGTTCCCAGGCTGCCGCCCGAGCCTCAGACAGGAGGGTGATGGTACGTACCCTTTATTGAGTAAACACTCCCTCCGCCCCACTTTTAAATCATTTTCCTGGCCAATGCCAAGCCCAAAACATGCAGCATCTGACGGGTGCGGTTGGCTTCCCTCGTGCACACAGGCACCGCCTCCCGGAGGCCCTGCACAGCAGCAGGGCGCAGGGGAGAGCTCAGGTGAGCCTGGGACACGGAGCTGGAACCCTCGAGGGCCGTGGCCTGGCAGGGCAAGCGAGAGTGCGAACAGAACTCTCGCAGCCAGAGAAAGGGGTCACGAATGGGTGGAGGAGGGAGGACACCAGGTGGAAGGGGAGAGAGACCACGTCCCAAAGGGCTCTTGCTGTCCCGTGACCATGAGCTGAGGTCCCAGCAGCCCGGTGGGGAGGGGGCCGGTGTTTGTGAGGAGGGAGTGAAGGGCAGATCAGCGGGCACTTTTGAGAAGGAATATGATGTCACAGACCCGTCTCCTGGTTCCCACACACATTTCTAGACTTCCATTATTTAGAGTTGGATCCACAAACAATAGATTTACAGGGTGTTTTAAAAATTCACATAAATTGAGTCGAACCTCGCACATGGTCCTACCACTTGTTTTCCTCCAACATGTTCGAGACTCTCCCGTGGGTGCACGTGGGGCTGGGCTTATCCTAGCTGTGGCGGACTTTTCTGTGCGAATGAACCACAATGCACATAATCCCTCTGTGCTGGCCCCCGACCGCAAGCGGTGCTGCCACCGGCGTGTACGCCCGTGCGCCCTGTGCGCGACGCCTCCAGGGTTCATTCCCGGACGTGAAACTGCCAGGTCAGGGGGCACGTGGTCAGCTACTTCCCCAGGTCATGCCGATTTCTACTCCAGCTGGGGAGGTACAGTCCCTGCCCACACCTGCTCGAGCCCTGGCATTGCCCACCACTCTTCCTATTAAAAGGGCTACTATGTGACTTGACCGGTTTTTCTCTGATTATGAAAGTGAAGCACGTTTCTTATAAGAAGTTAGAATATTACGAACACAACCTAGAAACTGAGAATCCCCAGAGATGCCATTCTAACAGTTTGGGTGATAAAACAGTGCAGGTTGCTCCATGGTTTTTCTTTGCAGACACTAACATATGGATAAACGAAAATACTTTCTGCGGGGCTGTTTCATCCAATTGTATTATCTCTCAGCATTTTTAAATGCACATGCACATATAAATTCATCCCTTTTGTTGCTATTTTTTAGTGAGTGCCTGCCAATTGGTTCCATGGCTCAGTACAGAACTTCAGGACCCGGCACGTATGTAACGGTGCTCGCTCGTTAAAGATGTGCCCCGTGAGTGGGCGGCTGGATTGACTCCTACGTTGATAGTAGCTTTCATTAAACTTCTTACTTTTCCAGAATACAGGCTAGCTTCTACTTGCAAAAGATCAACATTAAGGTGGAAAAGCAAGACGTTAATGGGAATGGATCAGACCCGTCCCTGTTGTCCTGCTTCTCAGAGGGAAGACGCCACACACCACTGAATTCCAGTTCCTGAAGGACCGCAAGGCTGAGCTGACCCCCTTGAGCCCGGGCTCGATGCGTCATCCACTGGAGAGCCGAGCAGACAATCCGTGCCCCGGGACTGCTGCGCCGGCCGGCCGTGCCCTCTCCTCCTTAGAAGAAAAAAAACAGAAACCCAGCTAACATACTCCAGCGCTGACATCCTGAGTCACCACAAAGCTCCCTGTCTCTCTGTTGAGGTGACGACTTGGTCTGAAGAGCTTCCCCTGAAGTTGTGTCCTCTGTCCGTCTGTCTGTCCCCAGGCTGTCTGGTGTTGGGAGCAGGGTCCCTGCAACAGTCGGGGTGAAGTAAAGGCTGCCCATGGGGGCTGCTGGTCGGCGCTGCCGTGGGGTTTCACTGTGTTTGGGCTGCAAAGGGGTTTTAAAACATTTGATCCCACCTTTAACACTTGGGAGAGCACACACTTGGACATGGCCCCCGCCTGGGGCAGCTGGAGGGCAAGGCTCACCCTGCAGAGCCCGGAGTCCCCACCAGGCCCTGGCTCTGTCTCAGGGCCCTGTGATCTCGGATCAGGTGCTGCCCAGCTTCTTGAGAAGACACATGACTCTTATACTGGAAAACACAGGTTAGACCAAGAAAAAGAATGTTTCAAGGACAGTGGCAGAGGGGGCCTGTCCTACCAGATGTGCAGAATATCTGACCCTGTTTAACATCCAGGAATTAGCTCCATTGCCCCGACACACGCACTCTACCTGCCTGGCTCCTATGTGTGGTTTGTTTTTGTTTTTGTTTTCAGATTCTTGGATTGGGAGAGTGTGTGGGGCTATCAGCGCATCACTTACCTACTCTGGGCCTCAGTTTCCTCCTCAGCCCCATGGGCAGGGAGGCTGCTGCATGAGGTCAGTGTGTACCTGGTGAGCCCAGCCTCGCGGGAGTTAAGGGCTGCTTTCTGTTTCTCTTCAAACTCTTGTCTCCCAGGTGGTGGTGAAAGACGAGTTTGGGTGTTTCAGGTTTGCAACCACACTTTAGGGAACTCCCCTGCTTCCTGCCATGCAAGGGAAGTTTCATTTCTCTAGATGTCAGGAGGGATGGCACAAAGCCAGACTGGCAGGCCTGTGAGCTGGAAGCCTGTGGGGTCTGAGAGCTTCCTTACCTTCCCCTGTCCTCCTGGTGACCCCAGAATGAGGTGACCTTCGACCCTCAGCCCATCTAGGGCATGT